GTCACTATGAGTAGAAACCAACTCAATGCCATTGAAAATGTAGAAAATTTTTATAAAAGAATCTGTGGTTATAAAAAAAACATCTGCAACAATCATTTTACAATACATTCTGCATGTTAGCAGTTGGGTTAAAATTTAGTACCCTATCATTTGATCTCCCTTATGATCAATTTAAATTTGTTCTAGTTTTTAATATTTTCTGCTTCCCTTTTGAGGTTTTTAAAATCTGTTTTACTTTGTTATTCTTGTTAGTTAGTTTGCTTTTAAATGTTTTTCTGTCTATCAAATCCAGGATAGGTAAATTGATAGAGGCAGTAACTAGATTGATTAATGGTTCCTTGGGGCTATGGAAGGGGACAGCGGGGGAAATGGGGAGCGAATAACAATGAGCACAAGAATAAATAAAATGCTCTGAAACCACGTGTGATTATTGGGCAGCTTGTCTTGATGGGAATGAAATGCTGAATGGCGTGTGAGTTATATGCCAGTAAAACTGCTAGAAAAAGAACAGCAAAACTCCCTGCCAGCAACCCCATAGGACAGAGTGGAACTGCCCTGTGGATTTCTGAAGCTGTAAGCTTTTACAGGAGTAGAAAGCCCCATCCAGTAGTTTATAAACTGCTAACCTTGCGGTTTGCTTCCCCAAACGTAAGTACTATGCCACCAAGCCACCGGGTAATTTATTGCTAGTCTTCAGAAAACGCTACTTTTAAGTAATTTGTAACTGCGTGGATCATATGTTATTCTTTAATGAAAATTGATAACAAACCTTATTAAAGATTGTGTATGGTCTGGTATGGGAGGACATCCAGGGAGCAGGGGTCACCTCCTTGGTTGACAGCAGTCCTAACAATCCCACTGGGACTGATTCAGTCAATGATGCCTGTGTAGTGAGGTCCCAAGACAGGCTCTGCTCAGGGAAGCTCAATGGGCTGACTAGTCAGAGAAAGCCATTGTTTCTCAGGAGGGTGACTCACACTTTTTGGGGATATGAAAGTTCAGTCACCTCACTCTAAGCATCTTTCTATGCTGGCCATGACTTGAGGCCTTTATGATTAATCCCTAGTGCTTTCTGGAATCCTGTAAATTGCTTTAATAAATTACTGAAACCTGAAAGGGTAATGGAAGCAAGCCAGGGAAAGGTGCCCCAAGGACCTGGAGCTTCCTACTAGTGTCGTGAGCACGTAAGAGGGAAACTCCGGAGCTGTAGGTAGGAACTGGGTGTTGGAGAGACTCATAGCTGAGGTCTCATACCTTTGAAGACAGGGCAACTTGGAAGATAGTGTCCTTTTAATTTGTGAAATGGGATAGAATGGAATGGGATTAATTGAATTCCTCCCTTCACCAGGTGGGACCAGAGGACTAGAAAGGATTGTATTGATCCTGGAGTGGGACAAGTGGGCTTGCTAGCCTCAAGCATGGAGGCTCTGAGGGGAAAAGGCCTGGTGAACCATTGCCGTGAAAACCAAGAAAACCAAATGGTGCAGTTCTACTCCGTAATACATGGGTCTTCTGAGTTGAACTTGACTTCCTGGCCATGGGCTTAGAATTCTGGGTTAAGAAATTCTACTTACTACAGTCCTAACATGACTTTGATCCATGTTCCACAGGTACCCTGAGTCCAGGAACAACTGCCTCTGCCTCCCTTTAGAGCAGTGGTTCTCAACCTTCCTAATGCCATGACTCTTTCATATAGTTCCTCGTAAAATTATTTTTGTTGCTACTTTATCACTGTCATTTTGCTACTTTTATGAATCTGGCGACCTCTGTGAAATGGTCATTCGACCCCCAAAGGGGTCGCGACCCATAGGTTGAGAACCCCTGTGTAGAGTATCTTCTCCATGGTCCTGGACAAGTGGATCTTTAGCAGGGAAGGAGCGAGACCAGCGGGTCTCCTGGAGTGCGGTGGATACCACCATTCCCTAATGCGTGACTTGGATGGCAAATTAAAAAAAAAAAGTTTTAAAAAGCCATTTGCCAGAGAGTTGGTTCTGACTCTGCTGCCCACAGGGTAGAGTGGAGCTATGCCATAGGCCTGATGGCAGAGGGTCTCCAGGCCTGTAATCTTACAGAACCAGACAGCCACATACTTCTCCGTGGAGCCGCTGGGGAGCTCAAACTTCCAAACGCTTGGTTGGTAGCCAACTACTTAACCACAGAATCACCAGCGTTCTCTAGGTGCAGAAGTAAAGAAATGTATTAGCTACAATTGTTATTGTCAATTTTTCTAAGGGGAGACTCATTTGCCCTACAGCTTTCAGACTCTTGCAAAATGGCCTTGGGTTACTCCTACTCTTGATTTTGTGTGATCCCATAGCAATGATCACAGAATTTCCCAAACCCAAACTTACCAAATCAAAACACTTTTAAATGTTTTTCAGAGAAAACATAATGTGTCATAATAAAGCAAGGAGCATATTCAAAGTATTCAGATAGTAAGTGTATTGTAGTTCTGAGCCACCATTCATATAGCAACATTCATGGCAAGAAATCCAAACCAAAGTTCATCAACAGCTGTTCTAAAGCCATGGACGAAGTCCAAGGGCTACAGGTGAGTTTGAGGCAAAGCCCAGTTAACTTAGTGATAAAGTTCTCTAACATAAAATGATAATGACGTCTCTAAAGTAAACCAGAGACATATGTAAACCATATATATATATATACATATACATATATATATATATACACACACCATATATATACCATATATAGACATAAAAATATATATATAATCAATTTGGGGTTCATACTTAATTCTAGTTCCAATCTAAGAACAATTAGTTCTTATGACAAGACCCTGTTTGATGGTTGCCTTCATGAAGAGATCACTGAAGATATGGGTGCTATAACAATGTGTGGTGAAGAAGCTATCAGAAAGAATAGTGTCTGGTTCTTAAAGCCTTGTCTTCAAACAAGCAGACATCTAAGTGAGGCATCAACTAAGTCCACAGGGAAGAAACCCACCAACCTGTGTGATCCAAAGACATGGAATAATAAGATCCAAATCTGGAAAAGGGAACAGTACCAGTGACCAAATCCTAAATACCTGGATTGCAGAAAACTATGGATGATTGTGGTAGTTCAAAATCCATTTACAAGGTCACTACATGGGATGAGCCTTCAAAGAATCCCCAATACAAATTGGCTAGAAATAACAATAACTCCAAAATCAGATGGTGAGCACTGTAAAGGGGAATTTAACAAATGTGACCGGAATGTAAAGTCATGTAATATGATCTTCCTGTGGTCTCAATGCGAATTTACTCTAAACTTATAATACTCTGCCTTCTGTTAGAATGAAGTCTTTATTGATTTTGAATGGGCATTGTTGATGGATCCCTGCTTGGTGTAGGCCCTAGTCTTCAATGATTATCTGTACAAGGAAACTGGAATCGATGGAAATACAAAGATAATAATGAGTTTGATGATTATCTGGGGACACAGAGCTAGAGGGCGGGGGAAAGGGGAAGTCAGCATCAATGTGTAAAAGAAGATGGGGAGGAAGCTACATATTGATTGTGCTGATGACAGTACAGCCTTCCTTGATATGACGGAACCTTTGAATTGTATGATATGTTAATTATAGATCAATAAAAAAGACTGCGTATATGAATAACTGGGTGTGGTAGTTACATAATCTGGTGTCAACTTGAGAGTGAAGGGGTGGAATTTAGCCTGTCAGTTAGGTTGCAGCTTGATGACCTCATTTGGAGGCACTAGGGACATAAATAGCTCACTGGAGGCCAGACCTACACTTTCTGCTTCATCTTCCTGCTGACTAGACAGAGCTACACCGATGGAACCAAAGCCCTGGAGCTGGAGGAGCCACGTGGAGACCCAAGCCGGTGCTGAGTTGCTTCCACCACCACTGGATCTACAAGACTTTCCACCTACTGGCCTGTGATCTTCCTGCTTTTGGAATCATTTCATGGCTGCATGAGTCTGAAGAAGGATTTATGGATTATTATCGGACATATAGACTAATATTGAATTTATGGACTTGATCTGCACTGGGCTGGGATGTTTTCACAATATACAATTGCTCTTTGATATAAAACTCTCCATTGCACACGAGTCTCCCTGGATTTGCTTCTCTAGTCTACCTGGACTAACACACTGGGTTTATCCCATATGCACAAATCTCTTTGTCTCTTTCTGTCCAAATGCAAGCCTCGTCATTATTTCTTTCTCGCCAATATCTCTTCCACCATCTGTCCTGCCACTCCCCTTTATTTTCCAATCCCTGTTTGTTTGTTTTTCTCACTGCATTATTTCCTTTGTCTCAGGCCCTTCTTTTTCTCATTCCCACTTAACTCTAAGCTCATGCTGATACACACAGGAAGCATACACATATTGTGCATGCTCATAAAAATGCTAGCAAACTGGTTAATGAGCATGGGATTCAAATACTGGTATTACCATTAATTGACCTTGTCTGATGACTTAACCTCTCTGTATTCCGTTTACCTTAATCATTAATAGCATGTGTCCTATACACTAAACACTCCTAAAGCTAATCTTAACCAGTGCCTGACACATGCTGAGTCCTCTGTAAATGCAAGATAATTTTATCTATATCACTTTTACTTGAGGTTTTACTTAACGCACCATGAATAGCCTAAATTAAAAGAAATTCTGGTACTTTTCTTCAAAATGGGAAGAAAAGGGAATGAATAGGACCAAGGCTCATGAAATAACAGGCAGGAAGAAACTCCATTGCGATGCTAGAACATAAAGGGTGTTGGGGTATAAGGCTATTCTCTGTTTTGTCCATTCACAATCTCCGAGTCCTAGGGTTCAGAATATGGCCACACTTTCTGGATGAGCCATCCTGGGCTTAGAGTCAGTGTTAACCAAAAGGCAATAGATCCTTTTAAGCCATGTTGTAATGCATCAAAATATTAGAAACAGGAAAAGAAATCACACAAACTCATTTTTCGATAGGTTGTAGAAATTGTGAAGAAGCTTGTTGCAGTGAGGAAGAAATAGACTTTACTTACCCGTGGGAGTCGACTTGGCTGATCAATGCCTGCCCCTTCTGCAAAGCATCAGCTGTGCAGTCTTCAATGCCTCGGTGTAATTCCTGATGCCTGGCTGCCAAGGCAGGCAGACTCAAACTTTCTGATTTAAGGAGCTTAAGGTAAGCCTCCACTCTTCCAAGAACATCAAATGCCTGCCAAACAAAACATACTTTCATTTTCAGCGTTTCTAGTTTAAAATTTACATCCATGTGTGCACAAATACTAGAGATTAAGCCAGGTTGTTAAATGTCTTAGTTGGATCCCAACTAAAAACCACCACCTTCATCTTGAAAACTAGTCACGCACTGTTCAAGGCTATATTAAGGAAAAGTGATCCTCACTGAGTTCTGCCGCGATAAATATCAACTCCAAAAAAAAATCATTAGAATAGTTTACTCTGCTATAACTGTACAGAATTGTAGGATCGGGTTTGTTTTTGGTGCACTTATACAATATACGAACAATGGAGGAGATATTTTTTAAGTGTTCATCAGTCTTTTGCAAACTCAAGTCTGTAGTCATCTCTCGGTATTGCATGGGTCACTGTAGCTGACAGATGTGACGGAAGCAGAGGCCGCAGGAGCTGTGCGTCAAGCTGGGTTTGTGAGATGGCTGCTGACCTTCCTAGTCCGGTGACTTGACTAGACGGGAGGCCCGAAGGCCACCTACCTACAGATTCCTCACTTACAGTCTTTTACTACAGATTCGGTTTATTACCAATAGAGCATCATGAACATATGCCTGATGTTGCTAAGTGCAGACAATAGTTGGAGAACAATTTCCCAAGGGAATTTACCAATTTTAGCATAGACAATTCACCTAAACCGGAAACTGGGATTAGCAAGGGTCAGAGAATCACAGGGGAAGAGGAGGAGAAAAAAAAGTAAAAGAGAGGTGGAAGGAGTCAAACAAACAAACAAACAAACGAAAATGACCACACCACAAACAATGAAGATATCAAAAATTCCCAGGGCAAAGAATATGTGGCCTTGAAATTTTTGAAATTGATCTTAAAGAAGCACGAAGGTTTTTTTGCTCAAAAAAATGTCCTGTGGTGCCTCAGTAATGAGGAGGGCTAGATCACCATTCAATAAGACTTTACAGAGAATATAATCGATGTCATTCAGAAGTGGCCAGAGGTGGACAGATGATGACGGCATTGAAGGATTTGGAGAATATGTGATTTTGAAAATATGTTTGTATTTAATGATCTAAACTGAAAGTTGAGATAGTCAAAGAAAGGGAGACTTATGTTTATATATCCTACAGTAAAATCGTAGATGATTCTCTTGTTTGGCATGATCTCTTGCTCAAAATGAGGCTGTTTGGATTTTAGTTCACTCCATTGCCCAAAGTCTAATAAACAGGAGATACCATCATGCTTATACATGAAAGAGAATGTAATAACAAAATATTTGTTCATTTAAGAAAAGGTAATTCCTCAATAAATTGTCATTTGATCTTGAAATACTATGGGGAATTATTTTGAAAATTACTAATGTGTTTTTCTCCTTCCCCTTTAGTTTAAGACCGCTGGTCTCCTCCATCCAAGGCATCTATCTGTCTTCAGAGGGGATTAGAATTTGATTCTGAACAGTGCAGAGAGAAAAAAATCCAGGTGCTATTTCACATTTTACATGCAAAACAGGACTATGCAGGGGAAAAAAGAAGAAAACTATAGTTCCCCAAATCAAGATACTGTTTTGAGAGGAGATTTTATTCTTTTCTTTCTTTCTTCTTTTTTTAGCTGATCAACACCCAAGCAGTAGAGATTAAGCATATGCAATTCACATAAAAGTATCCCATTGGCCATTAAGGTTTTTCTGGTATGCAGATGGAGAAGCACATGACAGAAATACAGAGACAGAGAACTGTGGACACTGAGTAAAAAAGAGTACAGATTTCAGTGGTCTTCTGGGATCTCATAATATTTCCAGTTTTGAACTCTGGCCAGAAAGCAGGGCATGAGCTGGACACAATAACATTACGGGGGCTCTTGCCACCCTCTCCTTTGGAACTATTGAAAAACGCGACCTTCTAAGATGTCCCGTGCCAATCTGGGGACAGCCCCAATCTTTGAAGCTGGAGGGTGCCATCAAGGAGGGGGGGTGGCAACTTTCAGTCTAACTTTTCCGGGTTGCTGAGTTGGGAGCCAGTGAGCTAGACAAGGAGAAGCAAACAGAAGATGCCGGTGGAAGACCTCAGACAGTGGGAAACCAGAGCAGGGGTTGCAGGAGTCGTGCATCACTGAGAGCGAAGAGAGGGCAGGACAGCCAGGCTGAGCTGACTGGGGGAACACTGCTCAGGCCACATTAGAGGCAGCTGCTGTGGACATGTCAAAAGCACCTCTTTCTCTACTCCAACCACTATCTTAGAGAGTGAGATTTAAGGGCAGGATGGAAACTGGGCAAATGTGGAATTACAAATGGAATTTCTCAAATACTCTAGCATTAGTTATATGTTTGTATTCTGTCCCCCACTAAGGTCTTCATGTGTTTCAAGTATGCTATATGGACTTGGAATGTTTAAAATAAAACAATTTCTATTTGCTCAGCAACGGATAAAAAGTAATAATAACTAAAGTAAGGGCCATCATAAGAGCTTCACAATCACTTTTTATTCAGTCAATAAATATATAAAAATATAATACTTGTGGTGATTGAGACTCGTGTTCCTTAACAGCCTTGATGGGGGGCAAGAAACTATCCATCCCATGTCTGGGCAGACAAAGTCCCAAAGAAATTAAGTAAGAAGAACAAAGTGGCATTAATACTGAGGGGCAAGCTTAGATTTGTACCCAATTTACCTACCCTTGAGGTTTCTACTCTTTAACTCTGGACTATGGTGCCACATGGCAAAAAAATGACAATGAAAGCTTTAGAAATGAGTATTTCAACTAAATATGAACTATGGAGTAGAAACGGTAGTACTTTCAAACTCAAATTTTTGTGTTAAAAAGGTGCCTCTTTTTTCTTCTTAATGGACAAGAAAAGATACAGTATAAAGTTGAAAGATTCATCTTATGCAAGACTACGAAAACGACAATATATTACTGAAGAAACTTTGAACCTGAAGAACTCTTTCTTATCTGAGTCCTCCTCTTTCCCGAGGCTGGCAACCAAATCAAATGGGACAAGATGCTGATGTTTCAATCATACATTGTTTGAATTATTCCCTCAATCTTTCCATAACTCACTGAAACACCACTTGGCAGTCTCTCCTGTTCCTAGAATTTTGCTTTACAGTTTAGTGTTTTACTGCTTATTTTGAATAAGCAGTGAACTCTCATCTTAATGTAGGGTTAGTTTTTTTAAGTCAGTACATAAAGCAAAAATCTGATAGAGTAAAAATTGCATTGGAATTCCCTTCAGTCACCTTTAAAAGTTTAACTTATAAGGCTTACCATTCATAATCGTTCCTACTTGCGTGTGGGATTGAGAGCCACTTAGCTGGACGAAAGGCAGACGTGAAGGGCAGATGTCTAGGGAGATGGCAGTCAGCGAGTTTGGGGTTGGTTTTGTTGGGCACTTAGACCTTTCTTGCTTTAAAATAACCTCAAATATCTAGTTTACATAGAAGAAGATTGGAGAATTCAAAAATACTTCTTTATTGTCTACAAGTTTAATTTCATACTGTATTAATATTAAGTCACCGTTGTCTTAAACATTTTATGTTTGCTGTTTTGAGAATTCAACAAATATAATTTTGAGAATTCAAAAATATAAACATAACTGAGGCATGATGAAGAGGGCAAGGAGTAAGGACTTGGGAACTATTTGCTGGATGCTACTCTCAATCCTGATGGATTTGGACACATATCTGAAGATCCGCTGATAGGAGCTCAGCCACCTGCTGTCTGTCATTCGGCCCAGATGGGCATTGTGGCCTGTCTGAACAATGGTCACTCTAATAACTTCATCTCTCATAAATGTGATGTCATCTTTATAGGAAGATTCTAATGCCACACACACATTCAGTGCATGTGTGATGTGACGCCACACTATTCTTGAAATTTTTTTTAACTATTTTTGAATATTATCACTAAAATATTATGTTTTAATAGCATGGAATTAAATTGAAGGGCCAAAGTTCACTAGAAGCAACTAGCTATATCAAAGACCAAGATCATCTAAAGTTTAGGATTGAAATAGTCAAAATTTCCTCCAGAGCAGTGGTTCTCAACCTGTGGGTCACAACCCCTTTGGGGGTCGAACAACCCTTTGACAGGGGTTGCCCGATTCAAAACAGTAGCAAAATGAGAGTTCTGAAGTAGCAACGAAAATAATTTTATGGCTGGGGTCATCACAACATGAGGAACAGTATGAAAGGGCCGCGGCGTTAGGAAGGTTGAGAATCACTGCTCCAGAGCTTTTTTGCATAAAAGATTAAAGTGTTTTGAAGGCATTTACTAACTATATGTTCTATTTACCCCATTTAATAGAGGCATGGCCATATAACAGAGGTGGGCTGCTTTATTCCTTCATGATTCAAGTACATTTGCCGATTATTTGCTACATGTAAGGTGAGCTAGGTGTTGCAGGAGAGCTTATTCCTTAACCACGCACATAGCCTGACTCTAAGAGTAACAATCTACAGGCACAGATGTTTTTCAAGGAGATTATCCTGTATTTGTCTGGATTATGAGCATCAGTAAAATTAGTATCCACACAAAACGAGGTTTCGCCCTCTCTCTCTCCAGGTTTCGTTTTATGATCCCCGGCTTTGGGCCAGAAAAAAAGTTAGCAACTACATTGCTTCTATTTTTTGAGACTTTTATTGGAATCACTTTTACTTTGGACACAAATTTAAATCAATCAATCAATCTCTCTCCCCCTTTCTCTGCCTGTTTCTGTCTCGTATTCTATGTCCTTAACAATTTCTCAGGGGTTAGCCATGTCTACTTGTCCCTCATGGTTATAGTTTGACCCTTTATGTATATCGCCCTTTTAACATTAATTACTCTTATTCTATCCAATTAGGTTATCCAAGCTAGACTTTGTTGGAGAATTCATGGACCAATTCCAGAAATAATCTAAGTGCCATTGCTCCCACTTAAATCTACTCTCAAAATAGCACCTCCAAGACCCCGATCCTTGAGGAACCAGATATATTGGGCTCAGCCAGGAAAGGCTCTCTCTGTTCTACACATGAT